ACACGCATTCCATGCAGAGGAAAGGCTTGCTTAAGAAATTCTTGGGAGAGAACACATTCTTCTACAACTGGTATTTTGAGACACTTCTGAGTGCCTTTCTCATGCACTTATCCTGTGAGAGGCACATAGCATGATCACAACATGTTTATTATATTTAATTCTCCTAAGCAAATAAGGAGATGTTCTATATGCTGCATTGGAGGTTTTTATTTTTTCCCTAAAAGTGTATTTCCTACAATGGTAAGAATGGAGAACAGTTTGTCTTTTGCTGAACTTTTGTAGCATAGACAGTTGACAAATGGGAAAATGAACAGCTTGAGGATGACTTTCTCTTAGCAGAACTGTTCCTCCTTTACATCTGAAGTCATAATGTCATGAAACAGGAAATAATGCACGACAACAAACAATAGGCAACAGTCATATTGCCAGCATGGCCCACAGATGATGAGAGAGAATTGATTACCACAGGAAATAGGCTGTTGGTCAGCTTAACCCAAACTGAAAGCAATTTACCAAGGCTATTTTCCATCATCCCATGGCACTCCAGTGTGAAAAAGAGAAAGGTAATATGACCTTCCTTTTATTCTCCTGTCTGTTTTATCTAGACTTACAACTGGGTAACAATAGATATTGGGAACACAAGGCATCACTTTTTAAAAGGTTTGTTCTTTAATGTTTGTTCCAACTGTTGATGAAAAAAATAAATGTTTGTGTGCTGCTTTTATAATCTTCAGGTCCTGACATGCGACCAAGGTACAACTTCAGCTCCTCTTTTATTAGAAGTAATAATAAAAACACAAGAAAAAAGAAGAAAACAATACACTTCTCCATGAAAAACGTGAGTACAGCAACACCGAGGTTTGCAGTTATTAACCTTGGTTTAAAAACCACGGCAAAAAAATATTTGTAAAGCCTTTTTGTTTTCTGTAGGCATTGTTACACATTGTTTGAAAATGGCAGGGAAGTGACAAACATTTGAATTACTTTGCATTATGAGATTTGACGCTCTGTTCAAAGTGTAAAATGAATCATTTTCATACTTTTCTTAAAGACTGAGAATTTATCTTGTGCGGTAGGTATATTAATTTTGTTGGACAGGCACATACAAATCAGAATCTTATTTTTGCTAAATAAGATAATGATAAAGAATCTTCCGGTCCTGATGTGTTCTACTAATTGGACTTAGGTAAACAAGATATTATTCCTGGATTCTTCCAACAAGCACTCTAGTTGGGGAGAATACCCAGTGACTGAACAATTGCTGATCTATTGCCCATCCCTAAAATGGGTGACAAAACATAAAGCGTAATTATAGTTTAATGAGTCTTAATGTTTACATTTAAAGTTAGGGAAGCAATGATTAAAACTGAACAAGGTCATTTATATGACAATAGGATTATAGGGAACAGTCAGCACTAATTTAGAAAAGCTAGATAGTGCTTAACATGTTAGAGGACTATGTTAGAGAACCAACATGTTCAGTAAAAAAATACAGGACAAAGATATTATATGGTCTTTCAATTTAAAAGAATGAAAAGTCTTTTTTAGATTGAGAACTGGTTGCTTAATTACAGTATTTGCATTTATGTAGGAATGGATTCCAAAATGATTGGTGTAGCATCCACCTGGGTGACACATGGTGTCCCATTGTATACCAGCATCCCAAATACACAGCCAAAACGGTAGAAAAGTGAATACTTACTTCACTAGGAGAATAGAACATCACTTCTTTAGGCAACAGAGGTGCAGGAACAGCGAGAGGAGACCGTAGGCAGAAGAGGATTTGACTTGAAATCAGACAGGCCAGGCCAGCACAAACCCTTCTTCACTGGGGCCTGGTCCGATACCGTCTTTAAAAATGTGTTAAGGTGCTTTAAATGGTGCTACAGATCAAGTGTGAAACTTCAGAAAGGCTGAACCTATTGCCTTAGTATAGAGTTTGAAGCTCATGGGACTAAAATCACACGCATGTACTGTAGGTGTGAGCTGAACACCGGTCAGATTTTACCAAACCGATTTCATGAAGCCCAGCCACTTACACAGAAAGTGATCTAGTATGTGTTGCATAGGTTGAGTCATATTTGACCTCACACCTCAGTTAATGGTGTGATTCCCAGTATATGCGGTCTGAGTCTAAACAGAATGTTATCATAAGGAAAAGTAGGCTGGAATTCATACTATGAGCCTTAAAAGGCAGCAAAGAAGGAGCACACTGAAGGCCTTGTTTTCAATGAGTAAGAAGATGATTTTGAAATACACCTGATTGATTTAGCAGTAGAACATTCATCTTTTGTGTAGCAGAAGGGGCCAGAAGTGTTTCTTAACACAGTGTGACAACCTTTGGTTTGTTAATCTGGGTTTTACACAGCATCACCTGTGCCATCATGCTATTCTGAATGAGAAGTCAAACACTCAGTGTCCTATTTTGAATTATTTTATTCAGCTTCATATTATGCTGTAATCAACTTTTAATTTTTAATCATTTAGACAATGTGTTAAAAGTGCAGCATTACCCATTTCTAGACTAGTAATTTGTATAAAATAATTAAGCATGTGGTTTGATTTATATTTTAAAAGCTCAGGTTGAAAAAAAAACATAAAGCCCTGTGATTGTACAGTGCAAATGTGTGAGTATTTCTCCACCAAAAACACAAAATTTAAATTGGTTACACATAGAATTCATACACACCTGCAGTCATTCACTGACCTCAGACTTGGCCTTAAGCTGTACTGCATACGCACCTCTCTGTGAGCATAGGAACCCAATTCACAACGATTCATCTTTGGAGTTCCTTTAGTTCCATCTTTGTAACCTTTTAAGAACCCAGGTTTATCAACTAATGTTTGCAAAGCTACATTCACATAATGAATCACTCGAGAGCTCAGACATGAGAATGAATTGAGTCTGGATTGGAACGTGTTTCGGGACTTGCTTTGTCAAAATCAAAAGGGGTGAAATCAGAAAAAAGACTGATAAAGTGGTGCCTCACAGAATAACATCATCTAATATTACAGTCATTGGTCATGCATGATATATCCACAACATGTCTCTATGCTGCTGCTGATGTGCTGGCTTGTTTTCTTGCCTGCATTGACAAACTCCAAGTAAAGGAAATGTCTCCTTTTTAGTTTCTAAATCAGATGCCCATCTTAGTTAAAATCCAATATAGCACCTTCCAAAAATCCAATTCTGCTCACTGTGGAATTCCCCATTTCTAACTTTGTGTGCAATTTCCTCATTTCATATGATTTCCTATTTCTTGATGATGTCTAATAAGATTGAAATATGCAGAATAAACATGCTTAATTAGAGAATAAAGAGAATCCAACTGGGTTGATCAACAGCTGGTATATGGTTCCACTGCTTAAGCTTGTTTGTGAAAAGCACGAGAGAAACATATTTGTAATTCAAATGGAATATTAAATGGAAATGAGTTTGGTTTTATACTGTACCAGTATCATGAGATCCTGTAAAATGTTACAGATGTGTTTACTTATTTTTTGGCCTGTTAGTATATGCGCATGTTTATGTATGGCTTGTACAAGTGGTACCAAACATTTCACATTATTGTCTGCTCCCAGAAATATACTATTTCAGTATGAAGTATTAAGGGCTGCAAGTTACATCTACATCACATCTGCACTGTTTCCAGGCTAGATGTGATTTTAAAAATATTGTGTGAACATTGCAAGGGACACATTTAAGAAAAAATACTTCTATACACAATAAATCTGCAGATTCCTACCAAAAGATGTGCAGATTTAAGATAAAAAAGGAAATCAACAGCAAAAAATAAATTACATGTACTATATAGACAACAGCACACCCCATTACTGCAAACATTTCTCATTTCTCTGCAGCTGCCAGTGATAATTATTTGGCACTTTTTCTGGGTGTTGTTCTGCTTTGCATCGTGGCCATGTGGAGCCCACGGCGTCATATTAAAGGTGAACAAAAGGACAGTGCCACCTATTGCACTTCCCTTACAAGCAGGGTAATAAGCTAAACAGCCAAGGCTGCCTGAAAAGTGAAAGTGGCCTGCTGACAGACAGCCAGTGCTGAAGAGAATGAAATCAATTAAGGCTCATCGAATCAAGAATTCATGCACGCTAAACAGTGAAAAATATTGGCTGGGACTGTCAAAGCTGTTGGGCTGAAACCATGCCCTCTGGTTCATGGCCTGCTTTTTTTCCCAGTGAGTGCATAGCCTCTATGCCATTAGGCAGCATGCTAAGAGACCGGGCAAGGACTTCAGAGGGTAACTTGAGGGAGCTACCACAAAGACACAGGCTCGCTTTCTTTAGATTGAGGTCCTGAGCTCCGTTCCTGGAGACACTGCCTTTCTCATTAGTCTTTGTTTCTATCCTGACATGCGAAAGTGGGTTACAGATTCTTCACCTTTAATCAAGTCCATCACAGGCACACTATCTTGAAACAGGATCTTAAATATTTTCAGTTTGGAGTATCATAGATTTCCAACTTGGAAAAAATATGAGATGAATTTCACTATTTAATTTCAATCACCAGAACTTCTCTAATGCTATAAATATCCATATGTGTGTGCAAGCAGACATGGATGTACAGAGATGACCATTTCCATCACACAGGCTCTGAACCCCCACACAAGCACATTCTTTAACATGCCTATTGTCAAAGACTAAGGTTCTACAGTACGTTTTACCACAAAAAATGGTCAACTGTTTCAGTAAAAAAACATCTAGCATTCTGTTGAATTTAACAGATGTAAACTGATCTCTGGAACTATTATGTAGTGTCGGTGTCTTGTAGAATTTATTGTTGTTTACATAAAGTTTTGACTAAAAGCGTCCCCAACAATAAATTCACATACAACTTAGATGTGAGAAAATATGACGATCTAAAGGTTATCACTACTTTGAATTTGCTGATACTTTCAGTTTTATTTCACTGTCAGCAGCTATTTTAGGCTTTAAACAGGTCGTCGCTTCTTCTTCAAAACCTTCCATTTTTAGTTTCCCACGTTCAATTTGCTGTCAGTGCGCATGCGAAGTCTCTTCACCTGTTTCAGCAAATTTTAATTCGAAGGTAGGTTACACCTGGAACGAAGGAAATTTGTGTTTTAGAATAATAAGGTGCTTTAGTTTGAAAAATAAAACAATACAACAATAACGCCACACGCCCCGCACATGGATTGTGCTATTTGTTAGTTTAAAAGTAACTTTTAAACAATTAAAAAAGTTTAATAACTAAACAGCGTCTACCAAAATTGTTTACAGTAAACGCCGTTTGTCAATATTGTAGCATGCGACAGAAAATAATTGAATCCTATTAAGCACGAAATGCCGAAAATGTATATTCTAAATAAACCGGATATAGCTGAATTGTTGGACTCTGATCCACGCATGACTTAAAATGTATTTTTGCCATTAAAATTACGCCAAACTGCAAAAGTGGCCTCTGCGTAGTTAAAATTAGTACGTTTTTTTCTTTTTCAAGTTTATGTCAAAATAGAGTTAAATAATATCGCTTGTGATACAATTTGTCAGAACATTACTGAATTTTGAAGACAGCGTACACTTAATTTAAATCGACTTTTTATGTCTTTTATCTAGGTTTGTGTTTTGCTGTTTGTTGGACCTCTTGGTGAAAAGACCGATTTCGCAAAACGGTAAGTCCTTCTCGAGTTTATCATGACCTCCATGTAGCTTAACTTGAATGTTTTATGTACTCTTCTTACGACAGGAACTTTTGGGCACCCAACAGTTGTCAGATAATTCCATCGAAACAGGCAATTGTACCAATTTAAATGATTTACATGTAAATGTGAACGTATTTACTGCACTGCTTTGCTTCGGTGCAATGTAATTTAGAATTTTGTTCTGTGGTTTCGGAACAATGTGAAGGAAACTTCACTATAATCTTGTATTTTAACTAGGTTATGAAAATAAATTATTTTGGGTTAACGTTTGGTGGAACAAGCAAATTACTCAGTTGTCTGTTTGTGTTGTATTAATATAAAAACATGGACGTGATGCCTAAATAACATAGATTAAAAATTAGAACCAATATTTCTTTTGTAATTAGAGTATACCTAGAATTGTCTTCTGTCAGGAAACTTACAAGCTTTTAGCTTGAATTAGACTTGAAATGCACAGTAGCATTGTGTACCTGTGGATCTGCCCTGCAATGTTCTGGGAACATTCCTATCCTGAATGTAGGCCCACCTTGTGACATGTGTTTCTGACTTTCTGGGTTGCCGTGACACTAAGTTTTTCTGATAATGGATGGATGGCTGCGAATGCACGTTTTGTGAAAGGTGAGAGATAGTGGGACGTGTTACAGAGTGGCCCCATGCCAGAAGATGACATAAATTTCCTCTTCTAACTCTGCAAGCTCACTTTGCTCTTAATGTTGACACCCCCTTTCCTTTAGTGCTGGGCTTCTACCCAAGAATAACTGTAACATATGCTGACTGTTGTGATATCTGTTTGAGGGAGACCTATCTCTATTAGGTTTTGGGTTTGAAATCTCTTTTCCAAAATAATTTACAAATTTAACCAGATCTGATTCCACTGTCCTGAGCTGCAGTCCAAGTCTGTATTACTGATACTGCTCTGTCTGATTCTGTCGGTCACATGAGGCTTTGGGTGGGGTGGGGTGATGCTGTCTTGGATTCCTGGCATAAGCATCTTTGCCCAGCTGTAATTGCCATACTCATAAACAGTCTTTATCCCTCTTAGATCTGATGCTATCAAAGTCCATCAAATGATATCCTATCTTTCAGAGGCTGCTGGAGCCAGTTACACTTCCAGATCTGCAGATGACAAGCAATTTATTTCAATTCCAGTTAACCAACAGGCTTTCCTGTTCTAATTTCACATTAGCGTGTACAGTCAGAACTGGCCACGTCTCTCTGTTTGTGGGCCTTTAAAAAAAAAAAGTTGTAGCAGCCTTTTGTAGAGCTGTGACTCTTGTATGAAATCTGTCTCATTTCCATTACTAGCCCAGTCACAACCAGATTGTAGCCATTTGATATGTTTGTATGGGGATTTAGGGATGAGCGTTGTCGTGTTTTCGGAGGGAACATCTGGTGAGGGTAAAAGGTTATAGTAGGGATCCCAGCCCTTTATGGCATTCCTTTCAAAGGATAAATCACCACCAAGTCACTCCAGAATCCAGGAGGGTTATTAACTCAAACCTTACAGTCATGGCTCCAAAGTCTTTTATATAGTTAACTTGGATGAATTTTAAATACTGGTAGAGCCCACTAATTACCACATGAAAGCAACTGAAATTCCCTTTCAGTGAAATGCCTGCTCTGTTTTTCAAATTAAAAAATTAGTTTGTCCTAGAATTGATTCACTTGCATTTTTAAATGGATTTTTTTTTTATTATATACCTAACCAATCTGTAATTGTGGATCCGAGATGATGATTCCTGTGAAAGAGAATGAGTTGCAAACATGCTCCTCTGACATCCCCACCTGCAGGGTGACTCATTACTGGATATGTTGGAAGCTCCATAGTGCCCAATAGGAGAGTGGGTGCTGAATGGAGGAATGGTGCTGCTCTCACTGATATCACTGCAACCTTATTGGTGCTCAGGAAGTTGCTGTTTGCCATAACGCCAACACAATCCTGACCAGCTAATCCTATCCCAACTTTGACTGTGCTTTTTAGACTGTGTATAACTGTCTGAATAGTCCCTCTCTTGGTTAGCTAGTGACATGACTTGGATTCAAGCTAACCATGTGAAGTGGTAGTATTTTTAACCAGTGGTTAATTGCCTTAGGATAAAAAATATTCTTATGTGAGGAGTGTTTTCATGTTTTTTTGCAACTGTTCATTTTTGTAATGTGCGGTTTCTTGCTATAAGAACATGACTGGACTGGCGAGTTCCCTGTTAGTCTGGTTTTCTGTTCCTGTGATTACTTTGAGGATTGTAAAAACTGAGCTTCTGTTATGTCAAAATGCTGACTTGTATATAAACGTACTGTTGGCACTTTGAGAAGAAAGCAAAAATCTTGTGACTTTCTACACTTGAAGACACAAGGCAATGATGAGTAAGACAAATGTCAAGGGCTGTCAGATTTGCAGTTTGTGCTGAGGTGTATTATCTCATGCAAAGTTGTCACTGCTGCCATAACACATAAAACATTTCCATTTGTTCCCAAAAGCATTGTTGTCTGCTTAACTTCTCTTTGTTTGCGCCATGCCGAGACAAGAGCATCAGTTCCTAAACAGCTTTCAGTTTACAGTTGAAAAATTTACTATGTGGTCAACAAACCTGACACACAGATTGTTTGCAATGAGAGCGATGGCTGTATTGCTTTTTGGAATACCAAATCTTTTACATGCTGTCCTTGTTTGCAGCTGGAAAGTGTTATGTAACACTGAGGTTTGGCGGAAGCATAGAAAGGATTTGAGAGTTCATTTGAAGTGTTTCCTTTTAACTGCATGAAAATGGAGCTCCATTGACATGACATTATGTGTGACATGAGTTGCTTGTATATATCCAAAAGAAACCAAAAAGACAGTGGTTTTGTGCATGTATACAACCCTCCTCCACCCTGTGGTTTCAATTAATAACTGCGATTTGTGAAGAGATAGACCCTGGCAATGTGGTTGCGTGTGATGAAATCGGATGTCAGGCACGTAGTAATGCTGCTTTTGTCAGTCTGTATGTAACAAGTGTGGAAACTTAACATGAAGGACAGCTGAAATCTGCAGTTTCTGGTGATGTCATTGTGTTAAATGGGAGGCTACCGTTCTGTGAATGTCACCATACATAAAACATACTTGTAATTGAAGCACTGTGGCTGCATTATACTGTATGTATTTTAAGTCCAGCTTAACCAGACTTCTTTCAAACCTTCTTTAAAATGTGTTGCCCCCTCACATCTCCTTAAATCTTGCAAGTTTTATCTTTATATTCTGTGCATGAACTCCTGTCAGGGTGCAGATAGTCAGAACCGTCGGTCTCCAGGTTTGGCAGCAGTACGATACCCAATCACCGTCGAACCACGATGTAGTGGGAAATGAGGCTTGGAAATGGCCAGAGCCCATTCTGGGGTCAGAGTGTGAGGCAGCTGCCAGTCTGTGTTGACATGAGGCCGAATGGGTGCCTTGGTGGCAGACTTCACACCCTCCACTGACCAGGAAGCACTTGACGGCTCCCAGTGCCCTGCCTGGCGCTAATTTCCCATTTCCTTCCTGCCAGGCTGCATGTAAATCACCCTTCCCCTCCTGGTGAGCTCAATCTGAACTAATTTCCCTAATGCTGTTTAGACTATAAACCCCTCTCTCTGGAGACAGAAGCCTCTGTTTGCTTGCAGCATAATCCTGGCTGACAAAGTTGAGAAACGCAGGCAGTTGGCAGCCATGTGTGTCCGTAGTGCCATCGTGAGACTTTCAGGCCACGGGGGGGGGTGTTCACGTGAGGTCATGGGATGTTAAATTTCCCAGATATTTCTCAGGTCTGAGATCTTCTTGTAACATTTCAGGAATCTTTCAGGAAGGCTTTCTGCTGCCGAGCTGACACCTGGTCAGAGTAGTGCTTGTCATCTGAGATGTGAAGTGGGTACAGTACAAGTACGGGTGTGGGGGGAGGGATAAGCAAAGATTTTTATAATATATGCAAGAGTAGTGATAAGAAGTGCTGTGATGGAATTAAATGTAGTACCCTTTAGGCAATAATGTGTATATTTTATCTTGCCACTAAATGTCAAATACTACATGTGTGAAGAGAATTTCCTGTTTTGAGGGGTTTCACTTCATAAGCAAGGGTTTCCATTTGTGAGTGGAGAGCATCAGTAGTGGTACAGGGCATATAAGCATTGTTGGCTATATGGACAACAGTGAGAAGAAGAGATGTGATATCAGTGGACAGAGCCCAGTCTGTCTGTGCTGAGAGACAGAGTGGGGATGACAGTTGTCAGAGAGGTCACAGATGACAGACAGATAGCTCAGCGTGGCCATCATGGGAGCTGCCATCACTGTCCCGGAATGTGGAAAACAATTTAAAGAGCACTCGCCTTCCTTTTAGTGTTTGTTTACCGTATGAATCGAAACCTCTGTGATTTCAGATGAGAGTAACATTCCAGCTCTTCATAGTCAGGTACCAACACCATTTCACACATTTGACACAGGCATGAGAAAGTTTGCCTGAACAATATGTGTTTTCAGGTGAAGTTGAGTACATATACTATGTTGTTATGGCTACATTTTACTGTAAACAATCCAAGTTGGATTAACACGGTCAACAAGAAAATGAATAGTTTATATGCATCTCTTCAGGAGTGACAGAAAGTCCGGGCCTGAATACATGGAGCGGTGGCTCTGTGGCTAAGGATCTGTGCTGGTTCAAATCCCGCAAATCCTTCTCCGTTGGGCCCCTGAGCAAGGCCCTGCTCCGAAATAATGAAAGGGGGCTTTCAGGGGCACTGTATAAATGGCTGCCCCCACACTTCTCTCTCCCCGCCTGTGTGTCTCATGGAGAGCAAGCTGGGGTATGTGAAAAGACAAATTCCTAGTGCAAAAAATTGTATATGGCCAATAAAGTCTTATGATAGTCAGCATTGCTGCCTCCCCAAGCTGGGACCATGGGTTCATTTCCCAGTCTTTGGGGTGCTATCTGTGTGGAGTTTGTATGTTCTCTCCATGTTTACCA